CCAGAAGGTTCTGTTAACAGTTTGCAGCTGGCTGATTCTCTCATTTCTCTGTGCAGAAATGTCACCTCCAGGAAACCCTTCACAACCACCCTGAAGCAGTGGCCTCCTGGTGTCCCTCTATCCCATAACAAGGGTTTTCTTTCTCTTTTTCTCTTTGCTTTAAGATACATCTTATTATCTGATGTCACATTACTTTTATGACGTTTGTCTCCCACCCCCAAGTAGGGGGCCACTGCAAGTCTGGGAAGCCAGGTGAGCGAGGGAAGGGAGCCAGCTAAGCCCAGAGCTGTTCCCACATAGTCCTTTGGTGGGTTTTGCATTTCACTTCCTGACCCAGCACCCAGGTGGTAGACTGCCAGGAGAGTGCGTGTTAAGAGCCCACATGGCTGAGGGGAGCTCCCTGTCAAGGTCACAGCTGGGCAGTGCCAGACAACTTAGTCCCCACTATCAAGGTCATCTGATTGCCCAGACACTCTAAAAGCACCCAGAGTCCCCCAGGAAGGCTTTCCCACTAGGAATGAAGCCACCTTCAGCCTCCTTATCTGTGACTGGAGCCGTAAAGACAGGCGAGTCTTCACGGCTGTGATCACCATGTTTAATAAGAGTAACCCTTCTCTCTGAATGATTATCCTGTCAAAACACTTTTTTAAAATTTCATTTTAGGGGCTGGAGAGATGACTCAGTAGTTAAGTGTACTGGTTGCTCTTCCAAAGGACCCAGGTTCAAGCTGGGCAGTGGTGATGCACGCCTTTAGTCCCAGCACTCGGGGAGGCAGAGGCAAACGGAACTCTGTAAGTTCGAGGCCAGCCTGATCTACAAGAGCTAGTTCCAGGACAAGCTCCAAAGCTACAGAGAAACCTGTCTCGAAAAACCAAAAAAAAAAAAAAAAAAAAGATCCAGGTTCAATCCCCAGCACCCTCATAACAGCTCACAACTGTCTGTAACTCCAGTTTCAGGGAATCCCAACACTTTCCCAGATATACATGCAGAGTAAACATGAATGCATAGAAAATAAAATAAATTATTAAAAAACACTAAGTTCAGCTGGGCAGTGGTGGCACATGCCTTTAATCCCAGCACTGGAGAGGCAGAAGCAGGAGGATCTCTGTGAGTTCGAGGCCAGCCTGGTCTACAAGAGCTAGTTCCAGGACAGCTAGGACTGTAACACAGAGAAACCCGGTCTTGAAAAAACAAAACAAAAACCCACCACCACCACCAAACCCCACTAGTTTATTGAGTTTCTGCATTGGCTTCCTGCAATGATAGACCGTAACCTATAAATAAAATAAGCCCCTTCTTCCTCCAAAGTTGCTTCTAGAACACTAAATTAGGACAGCATCCCAGCCCTGGCAAGTTTGACAGGGAAAATGGTGGCAGCTGTTTCAAGAAAAAAGAGGCCTTTGTGAGGAAATGGGGAGCCAGCTTAGACCCCCTTTCCTCCTCAGGCTCGATTCTGTCTGACCTGACTTCTCTCAGGATTCAGCATAGGCCTTTCACAAACACAAAGAATTCGAGGCAGGCGGTGGTGGCACACGCCTTTAAACCCAGAGACAGGTAGATCTCTGTGAGTTCGAGGCCAGACTGGCCTACAGAGTGAATTCCAGGACAGCCAAGGCTACACAGAGAACCCTGTCTTGAAAAACAAAACAAGAAACAAAAAAAGACAAGGAATTTAGGTTCTGCTGCCACATCTTCCCTGCAGGGTAGGTACTGAACACCCTCTCTTGCTGAAGTCCATGACTTGGACACACATTCTGGAGCCTAGCGCTTTCCTTCCTAAGTCTTAATTCCCTTACCTGGGAAAGGGGTGAGAGGCTCTGCCCTGACTTGGGAAACAAAAGGACTTTGGCGGAGGGTGGGGGGTCTGGGGGGTGTGGGGGCAGAGGTGTAACCACTGCTATTGTGGTTACTACTGAAGCAGAAAGTTCCAAGGTAGGTTAATGGATGCAATTCTAACCCCTGAATCTCTGAACCCCTTAAGGAGGCCTCCCACCCACTAGGTTGGTCTGTTTTCCTATTTTACCCATGTAGATGCCCAAGTCACCTGCCCATAATCTCCTTAAGCATGCCCTTGGCTCTAGTGAGGAACGGGGCTGTGGCCAGAGCTCCTCTGAAGTCCCATTTCCCTTCAGCTAGCAGTTTCTGAGGCAGGTGGAAGCAAGGCGGTCCCTCCACCTGACGTTTCCTCTGTGGATGGGGCTTTCCCCACTTGACCGTGGCCCTTTTCCGGCAGAGGGTTCCTGAGTCCTACAGCTGTGTTGGAGTTGGAGACTAGCATGTCATCAAGACACAGTACCCCCAAATCTGCTGGAGGTGACCCATTTTGACCAAAGCATAGGTTAGAGAAGAGGTGTGGGCAGCAGGAGAAGGGGAAGCTGCTGAAGGAGGAACCCACTCTTACTAGCTTTGCTAGGGCCTCTCAGCCCCCCTTCCCTCCCTAGGGACAGGAAGAGACAGGGAAGTCCCGTCCCGACATGCGACCACGGTACCTGACTTGGCTGACTCTAGGCTGGAGTGGTCCCGACTCTAGGACCATAATGCCCTTCTTGTCTTGACCCCTTGTCTTAGCAGCTGTTTCCCCCCAGTTTTCCTATTCTCTCTCACACAGCTCCCCAAGCTTCTATGCCCCTCTAAGGCTAGATTAGCCTCTCTGGGTGGTTTCTAAACACCCCCACTGCACCATGACACCACCCCTCTGCCTAGCAACCTCTGGCCTCACCACAGCTTCCTGTCTGAAGATGTCAGGGCTCGGGGGAGGCTACTAGAGCTGTGGGTGCTAGGGCCCCACCCCCTCCACCTTCTGAGCTTGGTAAAGGTTGTGGTGTCTCTGCTTCCGCAGGATGGAAGCAAGGAGCCAGATAGGCCTTACATGTGGGCCCTGTGGGCATTGACGTAGCACTGCCCATGGCTATCATTCCACTTGGGGTTTGTTAAAAAATTAGCTTTCTGGGGTGATTCCTGTTCCATAACGCTGATGCTTGCCGACTGGGGCGACAGGCCCCTCTCCCCAGTTCTAGAGCTTTTTATGGCATTTTCTAGACTCCTTTCTAACTCAGTCATTGCCCTCACCCCTTAGCCTCCACTTTTCTCCAGTCTAGACAGTTACTAGCCATCACTTTTTCCCACAGTATCCCAAGACCCAGCCACAGGTAGAGCTGACTCATCTCCCCGATAATGAATTCACTTATCCCACTGCGAGAGCCTCCTCCTGACAAACACTGCGAACACACATGAGCCAGCCTCATGCTCGTTGCTCACTGGCCAGGGAATTTCCTCCAACCATTAGGACTTCCCCAGTCACTCTTGAGTGACAGATGACACACCACTTTTCAACACAGCTCTAGGACTTAGGAATCCTGTCCCAGAAAAGGTACAGTGGACAGTCCTTGAGAGGATATCTAGACTCTCCACACCCTACAGTAGGAGCTGGAGCCGTGAGTGTGTGTGTGTGTGTGTGTGTGGTAGTGTGGCTACCTCAGGCGGCTAGAAGGGAGGCTGGAGAGCTAGAGGGCAGCATGGGCTACTAAGCATGTCTGAGGCCAGCTCCAGGAACAGAGACCCTGTCTTGAACAAACAAACTCAGATTGAGGACTGGGAATGTAGTTCATCAGTAGAGTTCAGTATGCACGAGGGTCTGATTTTCAACCCTAGCACAAAAGAAGTCTAAATAACAGTGTAAGCAAAAGCTGGGCAGTGGTGGTGCACGCCTTTAATCCCAGCACAAAAGCAGGCAGATCTCTGTGAGTTCAAGGCCAGCCTGGTCCAGAAAATGCCCAGAATGGTCTCCGCTCTGGTCTGATGGGGGAAACAGTCCCGAACAAGGAACTTTGGGATGTGACAGGAAAGATGATGGCAGAGGGAGGAAAAAACCAGACTTCCCAGCCTCTCCTGGAGCTGTGGGGAGGCGCGCAATACTTCTGCTCAAGCAGTACTTCCCCCAAAGTGTGGTCAATGGGCCTGCCCCTCCCTGGCTCCCGGATCAGAGGCCTGTGAAAGTAATGGAGCCACACCTCAGAATTCCTTCCTCACACACCTGGGGTTGGAGGAGAGGGAGGGCAGAGAGCCACTCAGAGGAGCTGGAAGTCTCCAATAGAACCTACTACAGGAATGAGGTGGTCTGGGGTGAGAATAGCCCCCTTGATCTTCTCCAGGTGGTGGTGGGGTGGGGAGAATGCCTGGATTTGGACTCCATTTAAGACCTGAGACACACACAGAGACAGACTAGCAGGGAAGGGGCACTCAGTGACAGTGACGTGGTTCCACTCAGTCACTAGACCCTGAGTCACCAAGATGGGTGAGGCTCCACCTGGTTCAACCTTTACCCTGTAAACGCTCATTGTACCCCAAAGGGAATCCTAGTGTTCGTTGACTATGAGGGGCTGGCAGTAGTAACTTATTTTGACCCATTTCTTAGACCTTAGGTTCTTTCCTAAAGTTGTCTATTTTTTCACAGAAAAACCAAGAAAACACAAATGGATTGTAGCCCTAGGATCCCAGAAGTCAGGGACACAGGAGGAGGTCCACTCGCAGGACCTTGGGGTCTCGACACAGATGAGCCAGCCATAGAATCCTGGAGTCACAACTGTGGTCTAGAGCTTGCTAACCTAAAACTCTAGGGCCCAGAACACAGCCCATTGGAATCCAGAAACACAGCCCATTGAATCCAGGGGACTCAATCAAAGACCACGCAAGTAAAGAATTCTGCAACCCTAGGAGGTAGAAGTACAGCCTACATTTTCTAGAACCACAGGAGAGGAACAGGCTGCAGAACAGAGCATAGCTTTGGGGGGAAGGGGGTGGCTCAGAGTTCACCTCAACCTATTAACTACCTCTTAAAGCTGAGATGGCAGAGGTCCTTTTGGCTTGCAGGGCCTCCCAGCCAGCCAACACCCTACAGAGACCTTCTGGCATGGTAGGGTGTCAGGAAGGGAATGCCCCAAGAAGGCAGGGGAAACCCTTGGGGATGGCCAAGGGAGCACTTTGGGCTCTGGTGCACTTACCAGCTGTGTCGTAGAGGTTCAGGGTCACCTCCTTGTTGCCCACTGTCACACTAGCCGTGTACTTCTCAAACACCGACGGGGCATAATGCTGTGAGAGAGGGGTCGGGGTTGATCCTTTAAGGGATGTAAAGGAGGACCCAGAGTCCCAGGCAGATCCCTCCCCCACAACTAACACCATCACTCCATCCAGCTCAGACCTGGCAAACCACTGGACTCAGCCCAGGAATTCTCAAAGGGCTGCCTGAAGGAGACACCCAGGACTCCACGGTCCAGACTCTGGGCCTGGGTCCTGGCTGGAGGATATCCCCTTGTTCCCCGCGGTCCTAAGCCCATCCTCACGCCTCCGGCCACCTACCGGGCCTCACCTCGGGAAAGGAGCCTTGGCAATACACCATGAGCAGCGATGTCTTGCCGCAGCCACCGTCACCCACGATCACTATCTTCAGCTCCTTCCTTGCGGAGCTGGGGGCAGCGGCTGGGACCGGGGCACCTGGGGCGTCCATAGCCCAGAGCCCGCAGCGCGCTGGATGCTGCGCTCTGGCCAGAGCCCAGTTGAGCGACAGGGCGGGGGCGGGGCTGCAGGGCGGGACCACGAGGCTCCGCCCTCGGACAGCCGTCGCCACCTCTGCCAGGCAGCCTCCCGGGTTCCCCTCCTTGCCTCAATTACTCTCTGCTATGTTCCCAGCCCTGGGTGTTTGTCTCTTAGTCCCCGGGGAAACGAAAAAAACGGAGGAACCGGATGCTAAACCACAAGCGCAGCGCATCCCCACCACCACGTGTCCCTGCACACCCCAGCTCTTTTAGATTCGTGGTTTCTGCCTCTTCACACCGACATCCCTTGGATTGGCTCCGCCTCCTAGCGAGGACTCTTTGATTGGCCAGCTTCACCCCCATAGACTCCTTGATTGGGGGCTGTACCCGGCAGCCGGGTTCGCATCCAGTCCTTGCAGCCAGTCTGCCAGTGTGGCCTGTTTTCCTATGGGTTGTAGTCCCTCGGGTCGTTCCCGAGAAGACACCAGAACGTGGGTTGTGTGCGTCCAAATAGTTTGCGCCTGGCCCTCGTCAGTGTGGGAATATAGGAATTCTGCTCTCTTACAGTCCGTACTCGGGTGTTCTGTTGACCCGCACCGTGGAACCGTGGCGCCCCCTGCCGGGAAACGCCTTCTGCAGTGACTTCAGAACAGCCTATTTCCAGGACTGACTCAAAATACATAGGTAGTATTGAGCAAGGCTCAGAGGGGTGAACCCAAGCGACACTGTCGTGACTCTGACAGGTCTAGAGCATCTGGCCCTTCGGTAAACTTTGGAAACCGATAGTCCCCATCTCCACCAAGAAGCGTTCTGGTGTCCTCTGGCTCCCTGTCTTTCACCCCAGCAATTCCACTCCCATCACCATTCAAGTAGCTCTTGGCCGAGAGCTTAATACAAACAAGTACTAGCGATACAGTTGGCTGATGTCACTGTGACATTTTCCCGTTACTATGAGCTGAGGATCTACTTCCAAAAGCAGGACAGTGTCAGGGAGTGGGATCCTTGCAGCCTGCCAGCAGTAGGCGAACTTGGTGGTACAGCATGAGCGCGACCCTCCAAGCCAAGTTTGGCAGGGCTCAGGGATCTTCTTGACCCTCCCAACTCTGAAGATACCTAATTTGCAAGTTCTCCACAAGCATTCAGGAAATTTCGCTTTGTGGAGTAAACTACCGATCCGGGAGGTTCCATAAATGTCAGGGGTTTTTGTTTCCCCGCTCCCTCCCCTTTCCTCCAGGAGACGCAAGGTAAAGCCCTACCACCAGAGGGCAGCAGCGACCGATCGTGGAAACTCAAAAGCCAACATGGACAGGGAGAGTGGAAACCTGGATCAACCTTCTGCTTTAGGGCAGAGGCCTCGTGTCACTGGATCAAGGAGGGCCCCTTAGACAAAAATTCAGCAAGTCATTCATTCCTTTTTTGCAACTTGTTTATTGAGAAGAAACCATGTCTGGAGGAAGCAGTTTGACAGGAATTCCCAGCACCAGTGAGATCAGCTAAGGGACCAGGGAAGCCTGTGTTTGTTATATTGGGTACAGTTGGGCAGATGGGCCAATGGAAGCAGAAGCGGTGCCCAACTTGGGCAAATGTTCTGCAGCTTGAAAACCCTCTTCAGGTTTCAGTGGTGAGGGGGAAATAGGCCCAAAGGGTTGTCAAGGTAACAGCTACATCAGGGAGGGCCTGACTGTTGATTGAAGGGGGAGGAGGGCTGGCTACAAAGAGTCAACAGGTGATTCCTGTCAGAACCAGGCAAGGGAGGGGCTGCGGCTATACCTTAGTGGACCTTTGAGGATGGTTAAAAAAAAAAAAAAAAGGCTGGGGGTGGTGGCGCACACCTCTAATCCCAGCACCCGGGAGGCAGAGGCAGGCAGACCTCTGAGTTCAAGGCCAGCCTGGTCTACAAGAGCTAGTTCCAGGACAGGCCACAAAGCTACAGAAGAATAGTGTCTTGAAAAACAAACAACCAAAACAAAAAAGGAGGGACAGTATGCCAGAGGCAAGGTTTCCCCAGAGAACACAGAGCAGGCCACTCCAGGGTGGAGCACAAGGTATGGATGGCTGGGAGTGAGTTGGGACCCACGTACCTTTGCAAGGATGCCAGGTTTCTTCTTTCAGGCTTCTTGGGGCTTGGTCCTGAGCCAGGGAGGCTGGCTGGCTGCATGTGCCAGGGGAGAAAATTCACTTAGAAGGAAAAAGTGCTTGTTCTGCTACATACAGCCAAGGAGGGCTGCTGACTTCCCACAGATCCCTGAGACCTGCGTCCGCACTCTCCATCCTCAGAGCAAGTCTGCAGGAGGCTGCAGAGAGGAAATGACTGAAAGCGAACGATTCTGGCTCAGGGGGGTGCAGGGTTCCAGTCTGCCCTACCCACCCACCCCAGCTTCATCAGGAGGCTGGCAGCACCCCAGCACTAGCAGGCCTGGAGTGCTGGATTTGTACCCAGCTCTCATGGTGATGGTGGGGCTGGATCTGTGTAGCTAAAAATACCCAGGAATCCAGCCAGCTGCTGTTTAGAGCCTCCTCAGAGGTCAGGCCAGGCCAGGCTGGTCTAGCTGAGGAGATAAGACTCACTCACCCACACAGGGTGGCTTATTCCCTCACCAGCAATGTTCTGGGGGCCCTGGGTCACTCTCTGATTCTCCAGGAATTCCTGGAAAGCGTAGAAAATGGAGAGATTCCTTCAGTTGCTTCTTGCCACAAAAGCCCTCAGGGAGCCACAGGACGGTCTCAGGGAAGACTACTACTGGAAGACTATGCTACAGAGGCCAGAAGGGAAGCGAGCCCAGGAGAGCAGAGGCAGAATGCCTTCAGTCTTTCTGGACAAAGTACAGATTTAGATGGGAGAGGCTGAGGGCACCACTCCCCTACTCAGAGGCCCCATAAATCAATTATTTAGCTATCCAAATGTAGATGGTACCAATAGTAGTGAGAGATAAAGACTCCAGGTTCCACTTAACAGATAAAGGGGGGCGGGGAGCCAGGGTGCCTAGGGTGCCATCTTAGCCACCCGGCTGGACAGTCTTCCTCCAGGCCCCAGCAGCCTAACAGCTCTAGGGAACCAGTGGAGGATGGGCAAGGCATTTCTAGAGGCCAGGCTGGAAAAACGGCTTAAACTGGGCATAAAGGATTGTACTTATGGTCCCAGCCTGTCAAGAGGACTGACATGGCAAGACCCTCTTCTGTCAGAAATATTTCTGTTAGACATAGCCAAAAGGTTGTTTGACTTGAGCACAGAACAGTCTGCGAAAACACCGGGGGCAGGTGATAGAGTGGGGTGTTTCTACCCATCTTGACTACTGTCTCCACTTAGAGTGTCTAAAAGGTCATATCCCAAACTAGGGCTCCAGGCCAGGTAGAGTAGACGGAAGGGGCGGGGACGCTGGAATCTCTGTAGTGAAGCTAGTCCTGCCACCTCCCAGCTCAGGCCGTCCTTCCGCTGGCGTGGCCCTCTCTCAGCAGGCCAAAGCAGCCCCGCCCCAAGCTAAGTGGGTGACCAGTGGGCGGGGCACCCCTCAAGGCCAGGAACAACAGCCTTACAAACTGCTCCACCCTACTGCCCAGGAGGTGATAAGGGGGCCAAAAAAAAAAAAAAAAAGAAAGAAAGAAAAAAGAAAAAGAAAAAAGGAAAAACAGAGCGCGCGTGCGCGAAACCGGAGGTGAGAGCCTGAAGTGGAAATGGGTCACAAGTGGGCCCTGTCACTTCTGCCTTTCCCTTTCAAGCTTCACACCACAGTTTAGCACGTAATTGTTCCCCAAGTCTATAGCCCTCCAGGGTACAGCTGACACAGCGCGACTTAGTCAATTACTTAGTCTGAGGCTGGAGGAGATAAAGACCCCAGACCCAAGGACTCGACCAGAAAAGCAGGTCTCTTAGAAGAACCAAGTGGCTTACAAGGTCCGTATTGTATGAACCCAATCAACTTAGAAAAGTGCTTTTCCTGGCTTTTCCCACTCGGGGCGAAGAGTTCAGCCCTCCCAGCACAAAGCAAGCTCACCCAGAACTGGAAGCCTGGCCCTCTGTATCAGCGGGAGCCACAGGACCATTCTGGTTCCTTGCTATCAGACAGCTCTCTGGCAGTGATGGCAGCAGACAGCTGGAACGGGAGGGTGCCTAAAATAACCCAGAAAGCTGAGCAAGGGGGTTGTCAGGGGCCCAGGCTCTGGGCTGAAAACCAAGATAACCTGGAACCCTGTCTGTCCTGGCCTCAGAACCTTGGGTGAGCTGTTTCTTTTCTTGGGGCCATTAGTGGGTAACCCTTAAAAGCCGTGACCCACTACAGAACAGCCCACTGGACCCGGAACAGCCCGGACTGAAAACTGCACAGGAAGAAAAACAGCTGGCCGCCTTCCCAAGCAGAGCCAGTTTTCTTTCTCCTTTGCCTGGAGGCTCCGGCACGTGCTTCAGGAAGTGGGCTGGCGGGGAGGAGCCCAAGACACAGCCCAGCCCCCACCCACGCAGCCACTCCCAGCAACAATCCCTGTCGTAATGGAAGCCAGAGCAGGAGTGCGGCCCCCTTAATCGCCATTAATCCTCCCATCAACCCTTTCCAGCAGTTATGATCCTTTTACGGGGGAAGGGGGTGGACGGAACAGGATGACAGCACTGGCCCAAGGTCACTAGCTCACAGCTGCCAGTCTTGAATGATCCCCCGACTGGGCACTAGCCTACCTCCAACAACCCCTCCGTGAAGCCTGCCAGGCTCCCCAAAGCCACACTTCAGCACTCACTGTAGGGGTGACGAACAAGGGGAAGAAGCTGGACGCTTAGGCCAAAACAAGGGAAGCACCTGCAGCCAAATGGCTCATCAAAGAAACAGATAACTAGGAGCACTCTTGGGGAGGTAGGGGTCAGAGATCAAGGAGCACACCACTTTCAGCTGTGAAGTTTCCTGGGCCGGAGGAGGGCTAGCCAACTGGAGCTCCACAGATGGAGACTATCCCAGGTGTCACCTAGCAGGGAAAGTCTGGGAAACTGGCAGTGCCTGGGACCTTGGAAGAAGTGCTAATCCTTAGATGCACCTTCTGAATGAGACACTAAGAGCCGGGCACAGTGAGGTTCAGTGAGTTCCCCTTCTGACTTATGATACCTGCCTAATTCTTGCAGCTAAGGAGGCGGCTCAGAGACCGTGTTGACTGTGCACGGTAAACACACGTAAAGATCCCGTCTACTTCACAGCCAGCTTTGAACGGGTCTAGAAGCCAGGCTATCGACAACCTGGCCTTGTTGGGAGCTAGAAGGCCACTGTGAGAATCCAGGAAAAGAAGTCAAGAAAACCTTTTCTCTGGGAAGGTTGCCTGAGATTTCAGGATTTTTGGTTCTTTGTCTAGCCAGCATCAGAGGGTGGCTCATTTGGCCACCCTAATGGGACTCAGGAGAAATGGCTGAGGCACCACCGGCAAGCCTGGCAGCAGTCAATGCCTTCAGAAGCTTCCAGGACCCTCCCACCCACCATAAAACACACCACTGGGAAATACTTCGTAGTCCTGCTCTAGTAAGTTGCTAAATTCGGCAGAGAATCGCCCGCCCTAAACGCCTGACAACAGAGGTTGACAGGCGGGGCTGGATGGACCCAGCAGGCCGCCCATTTCACACACAGACACAACCGCCACATCAGCGTGGGGGAGGGGCTGCTGAACCAGCCCAGCGAGTTTGGGGATCCCAACCCGCCCTTCGAAGGCCGCAGGCCAAAGCCCCCTGATACAGTTCTCTCAACTTGGGAAAAGGGCTCTTACCTACCTTAGTGGAAAAGCTGTCAGTCAAATTAGGCCTGTTCCAGTTGTCCAGAGGAGGATTGTCTACTGTGGGGATAACCGAGACATTGCTCCGGGCTCCGGGCAAGACCTGTGAATTCGGACGATCTGTTAGGGCAGTCCCACAGTTTGTAGGTCAGAGAATGGATCGGTCAAATGCAAACCAACAGGGTCTACTAGATAGAAAGGGAGCCTCAGAAGTGCTGCCCCCCCTTTTCCAGCTGACAAGGCAGCCCTCACTCTGGAATGGGTGGGGGTGGGGTGGGGGTGGCTGAGTCACTAAGGTTCAGCCCGGGCGACAAGCAGCAGGAGACGGCTCATCTGCATTTCCAAAGGCCCGCCCTGTCCGCATCCCCTCCCCCAGGAAGGCTGAGATCTAAGGCTTTACCCTCGGGCACTATCACGGGAGGTGGGGGTTCCCGAGGGGGAGGCCCCAATCGGCTTTCCCAGGCCTCAACCGCCCCCCCTCCTCCTCCAACACACACCTCCAACCCGCAGAGCTAGGTTGGAGGCTAAGCCCCTGGCGACCAAGTGAAGGGACTCAGGCACCGCGAGGGCCTCTATCCCAAAGTGGGGGACAAAAGGGGAGACCCGCCCCTCCGACTCGGCTATCACAGAACGACTGGGGGAGGCAGGGGTGGGTCTCCTGAAGCCGAGTGGGCAGTGAAGGGAGGCTTGGGTAGCCTCTTAGCCCTTGGCTACTTGGCTCCTGTTCCGAGGCAGAACAGCAGGCACAGCAGCCTGAGCGAGGCCTCGTGCCCTCCTTGGCCATGGAGTCCGGGGCTTCAGCGGAGATCAGGGTCTTCAACCCGCCTCCAGCGGCTCGCCCTGCCCAGCTCCGGCTCCTCCCGCGGCCGCCACTGAGGGAGTCGCAAGCTTCACCCGAAGGCGGGCGGGGGTGGGGTGGGTGGGCGAGTGCGGGAACTGTGGTACGCGACGCCCCGGAGGCCCAAGGCCCCAGAGACCCGTCACCGGCATCCCGGGTGCCTTGCCTTGCAGGCTCTTAGGACCCGGGACTGCCTCCCAGCGACAACCGGGGAAAAGACAATGGCGGAAGGAAGGAGGAGGAGAGCCGGCCGCCATTAGCCACCGCAGCATTGAGCAGCCGGGCGGCCCCAGCCTTGGCCCCAACCCGGCCCAGCCCGCGGCTCGGCTCAAAACCTGAAAATAAAACTCATGTTTGGGAGGGAGGAGCGAGCGCGGCCGGGAGGACAGGCAGCACCCGGCTGCAGGAGGGAGAGATGCTGCGTCACGGTGCCAACATGGACGCCGGCCTTTTGTCCTTTCTCTCTTTGGAAGAGCAGGCGAGCCCCGGAGCCCCAAAAAGCTGCTTTAAGGGTGCAGAAACCTCACAATCAAATGGGAACGAAACCTTAGGATGGGTGGGAAGGTTTCCTCGCTCTTTCACCCCCTCTATCTCCAAAGCACTTCAATTTCTTCTCTGCCACCAAGGTTCAGACCTGAGGCGAGCCAAAGAGACTATCGCAGACAGCTCCATGGATGTCCCAGAGTACTGGGGAGATGCTCTCTTCGCTTTGGGGGCAGAAGAGGCAAAGGGGTCTGGAGAGTCTTTGTCCCCTCACCCGCCCACTGTCACCGGTTGCCAAACTCAAGCTCCAGAAACCTCAGCTCCCATCATCTACAGCCCATGGCCTGCTCAATCAAGAGTTCCTCGAAGGGGGCAAAGGCACTTAAAATTTTTTTAAAATTATTTTAGTTCTTTACTTACCCGCTCAGCCCGGTGCCATGGAGTCTAGAAGAAAAAAAACTGGGCGGTGTTTTTGGAGATGTTATTATGAAAAGAAAGGTTTTTTGTTGTTTTGGTTATTTAGTTGGGAAAAAAAAATCTGGGGTAATGGTGTTCTTTTGTTGTTACCTTTTTGTAAGTTACACTCAGGGTATTTTCTGCTCCTTCCACGACTGCAAACTTTCCAGGGTTGGGCTGGCAAAAAGGCGGCTTCGCTGTGGACTGTTTACTGCTCTGGATTTAGCAATGGTGTCATCATTAAGAAACAAAAGGCGAAAACACAGTCAAATCAAACAAAAGGCAAAATAGCTCACCAGCCATCCCAACCACCAGAGAAAACAGCACCGGGTTAACGTAGGTGTTTGGCTTGCACCAGCTAGGACTTGTTTTCTCCAGTTTTATCTAGTTTTCAGTGACGGCTTTGAGTCTTTGTAAAGAAAGACTTCCTTTCTCTCAGTCCCCCCCCCCCCCAGTCGAGAAAAACAGTTGTTTTTCTTCAAAATAGATCGATTTTCAAAGAAAGTGTACGAGTTACTGGGGAAAAAAATCGGAGCATCTATTGCTGTAAACATTTTTCAAAAAGCTTGAACTAAAAACCGTAGCTTTATAAAAGCAAACGTCTAAAAGCATTTTAACTGACTTACATCAGACAGAGACAAAGACATACATGCAGATGAAGATTCCGAAAATTCAGGACATCTCAGGCGACAGTAACATGAAACTGCAGGGCAGGAAGGACAGAATGGACTGGGTACTTACAATGTAAAAGGTTTTTAGAAAATTTAACAGTAACAGCTCACAATCTTTTTGTTGCTGCCATTTCGCTATTCCTACAGCTATACATTTAAAACATTACCTTGTTAAAAAGAGTAGTTAATAAGATGACCAGGTTAAGTGTTTAATAGAGGAAATTATATTTAAAAATTTATTGTTCAGTCAAGAGAATACAGATTAAGACAGCTCCAAGCTCTCCCCCCACCCACCCAAGAAAAAAAGAGGAAAAAAAATTAAATATGTCATTTACTTAGGTTTTTTGAATTCAAAACTGTTAACTGCTGACATTAATAGTGTGCTATGACCTAGTTATACAAGACAAAGATGGATTCCAAGTCATAAGGAAAAATCCAGATCTTTTTAAAAGGTCTTCTTCATTCTTCCAAGTGTGAGTCCTTTGGCAAATGTTAAACACATTCAGGCGTCCTGAACTGGATGGTGGAGTCAAAGGAAAAGCATTCCCCATTTGCAACAAAGGAAAAACCCACTTGGCCATTTAATTCCATTGCAGAAAAATGGCTCCCCTCATCTGTTGGCCTCTCCTTGGAGTCTGATGAAGGATGTTTTGAGATCAGCGTCTAATAACTCAAGCCCTATAGAAGCCGTGTGCTGATTGGCTGCCGCGCCCTGCCGCCCTGCTCCAGCCAATTACCTACCCACGGCCAAATTACAAACCCCGAAAAGAGCCCCAATATGAAATACACCACCACGAAGCCCCAGCGAGGCGGCTGCTTCGTGTCGGCAGCCCGAGAAGAGAGACCGAGGGGTCTGCAAACATATCCACGCGAAGCCGGGGAAGCCTCCGAGTTGAACTCACAAAATGGAAGCCGAGCGCTGATTGGCCGCCGCCACTCCCGGACCTTTAATAAAGAAAGGGGAAGGAAAATGATAAATGCAAAAAAGGGGACTCTCTGTCGCTGGTGCCTGGAGGAAGAAGCATGTGTTCAGGACAATTACTGGGCGCTCCCCTCCAAAAATAAAAACAGAAAGGAAAAAAGAAAAAAAAAAGCTATCTTCCACGTCCAGGCGAGGGCCGTATCCTCCCAGGAATGTGAAGTCTAATGTGGTTCCAAATCTTGGTTTCCCCTCCCCAGTACTGCTCCAGGGAGGGAGGGGGTGTGCGGGCCGAAGAGGAAGCGGGATCGGAGATACCTCGATTGCAACTCGTTTGGGGTCGACGTCTGCCTCCCCAAGCTCCAAGTATTCAAACACACAATCGCCCCCCTCCAAACCCAGCCCTTTCGCCGAGTCTCCACGCGCCCACCTCCGGTCTGGGCAGTTTGGAAACAGTTTGGGAGGCCCCGGGGGCGCACGCCGTGAAGTGCCCGGTAGCTGGAAGGGTAGTCCCAGCCGCGGGAGGTAGAAGGCCGAAGAGACCCCCCTCTCCCCCGCCAGCCAAGCCCCCCACCTCAGTCCCAGCAGAATAAATAAATTAAAAGGCCTTCCCCCCGGGGAGGGGGGGAGGCAGTGTGGGAGCGCGCGAGTGAGGGGTGGGGGGCCGCTGGGGCCCGGGGCTTTGGCGGCGCAGCTGCCGCCGCCGGGAGAGTGCCTGGGGAAGCGGCGAGGAAGGCGAGGGGAGGAGGAAGAGGAGGAGGAGGAGGAAGAGGAGGAGGGTGAGCGCTCGGGTCGGGCTCCTTAGCGGTGTATTGTGGGATGTGCGGCTACTGGGAGCCGAGCCTCCGCCGCCAGCCGCCTCCCGGGCAGCAGCAGGAGCAGCAGCGGCAGCAGCAGCGGCGGCAGCGGCAGCAAGGGCAGC